GTGATGATGATGGTGGTGATGCAGTGATGATGATGGTGGTGATGTGATGATGATGGTGGTGATGCAGTGATGATGATGGTGATGTGATGATGATGGTGGTGATGTGATGATGATGGTGGTGGTGCAATGATGATGATGGTGGTGATATGATGATGATGTGATGATGATGGTGGTGGTGATGATAACGTGATGGTAAATCATGATGATGGTTGGAATGTTACATATAGCTTGAAGTATTTTTTTTCCATAAAATTTACAGATTACCTTAATTATTTTCTAAAGCACCTTAATTATAGTACTATATGTATGTAAAATGTCTATTACTATGCAAATTTTAATTTTCTTTTTATATAGCATTAAACAGTAAGCGCTGGAATAGATGTAGCTATTTTATCCTTTTATGTTACTTCTGTTTATGTTACTATCTGTTTATGTTACTTTTTTCCGTGCTAAAGTGATTGTGTGCCAAAATAAAACAAAAGAAAAATTATTGCTAGTGGTAGCCATCATTTGGGACTCAAAGGCTTGCTGAGAAATTAGCAAGCAGGATGTCAGAGTTTATTGTGACCAAAGTGTGGTGGACCCCGCCTGTGTGGACAGTGCTGTGGCTCCCTCAGCCTGTAGCCTTTTCCCCGTCTGCTGTCTGCGGCCTCAGTGATTCTGTGGTGTTTTGAGTGTAGCTGCTTCACATTCATAACTTTCTGCCATTTGTGTTTGTCGTTTTGATTCAGTCACCAAGTTTACTTGGTACGGGACATGGTGGCATGTGTAGGAAAGACACTGTGGGTTCACCCTCCTGTGCCTTTCATGCGGTTGTCAGTCTGCTGATGGACACGTGATGTACAGCAAAACACTGAGCATAATGGAGATAGAATGTGACCAGGGAAGGGAGATGTTTAGAGAAAGTGCTGTAGCTGTTTCCAGCAAAGCTCCAAGGAAGGCTTTGGGGAAGAGGTAGGGATTAAGCTGACCCCATGAAAGGGGTGGAACTTGGTCATGTGTTCCCTTACAGCTTGTGAAGGGGGCAGAGCATGGCAAACAGTTCAGAAATAAAATGGGCTTGGGAGACAAGTTAAGCAGAGCTGGCTGGGGATGGTCATTGGCTCGCAAGCGTCTGAAACTCATGGACAGCACCGTGTGCAGGTTGTGTCTCACTGGCCGCTGGGTGGACCTTATAGCTCTTTCCATGACAGTTTTTGTGCCCCACATGATTGTTGTGGAGGAGGCTGTCTGTTGGGGCACTGCTCTGTTCATGCTGCTACTGCCATCATCTGCTGCTGTGCTGTTATTATTTAATGTGTGCTACTGTGGGTGCTCCAGCAGCCGTGTGTGCTGCTGTTAGAGCACTGGGTGCTGCCGCTGCCCGTGTGTGCTGCTGTTAGAGCACTGGGTGCTGCCACCACCCGTGTGTACTGCTGTTAGAGCACTGGGTGCTGCCACCACCCGTGTGCGCTGCTGTTAGAGCACTGGGTGCTGCCGCCAGCCACATCTGCCGCTGTTAGAGCACTGTGGGTGCTGCCGCCAGCCACTCGTGCCGCTGTTAGAGCACTGCGGGTGCTCCTGCCAGGCCTGTGTGCTGCTGTTAGAGCACTGTGGGTGTAGCTGCTGGCTGTGTGTGCCGCTGTTAGAGCACTGTGGGTGCTCCTGCCAGGCCTGTGTGCCGCTGTTAGAGCACTGTGGGTGTAGCTGCCGACTGTGTGTGCTGCTGTTAGAGCACTGCAGGTATAGCTGCTGGCTGTGTGTGCTGCTGTTAGAGCACTGTGGGTGCTCCTGCCAGGCCTGTGTGCCGCTGTTAGAGCACTGTGGGTGTAGCTGCCGACTGAGTGTGCTGCTGTTAGAGCACTGTGGGTGTAGCTGCCAGCTGCGTGTGCCGCTG